CAGATCCGGTTTAGTCACAGTGGTTCGGGCAAGTTCACGCAGAACGCCACTGGCTACTCCAGTTCTGATCCTTTAAAATGAAAAGCCGAGCAGTCAACTTTGGCATCATTGATCCCAATGACGATGACATTGCATATTCCAATAGTGCAGCAATACCAGCGACAGTTAATTAGAGCACAAGAAAACTTTTAGCTTCTCGATTATATGTTGAAGACCACACAGCGGATAGAGCTGCTGATCGCATTAAGAATTAATAAGTTGAATTTTTTATTTTCGTTTTTGCTGTGTAGCAATCCAAAGTAGGACTTTCCGGATTGAAATCAGGGTCGTTTATTGAGCAGTGGTAGCCGCGTTGCTATTCTTCTTGTTCTTTCAAAAATTATATGTCCAGCGTGACAAGGAAAACAGGCATTATGCTTCGGAGATGCTGGAAAGTTGATTTTGGGTACTGGTCAATCATCCGATTGACTACAGTTTTGCGTTGTGTGTAGTGTTTCACTGTATGCTGTTTTTCACTCTTTCATGCGATATCGAATCAAAAGTTACATAACTTATTCAAAATTTTGAATACGTTTTGGCATTTGAACCTTCCGTTACACTAGGACGCACTGATATTAATTCACACAGTTCGACCCATTTCCGGGCGTTTGCTTAAACTGAATGCGCTGCGTCATTATAGCACGCTTTTGACACACCGCTGCTAAGTACGCACGAAATATAACGGGTCGCATTAACTAATTTATTGTCATTTATGGTGCTCTTGATTCTTTATTGCTTCTGTTTAGTTCTGATGCCTTGTTAGCGAATCTTCATCTTCGTCTTCCATCGCCGCTTCTCTTTTCGGGTCGCGATTGTTAGTGAATGTTATTTTATTTAAAAAAGTACTAGTTTCTGCCGCTCGCTCTTCGAAATATTGGTTTCTATTTTATCGTAGTCATGACTAATTCCGACAGACTAGCAAAGACAGTCAGCTGTTTGCGCTAAACGGCAAAAAATTTCATGCAATAATTGTCGAAGTCGTTAAGGCCATTCTTTCCAATCATTTTCGTTTGCACTTTTCAACGTCTGCTTCAATGTGCGCATTAAAATGCGAATTGGAAAGAAGGGCTCCGTAGTCGGCACTTTGTATAGAGCACTCTACACTTCTTTGAGGAAACATTCATATTCTACCTCTAAATTTGGCGCAGAGAACGTTACAAGGTCATAGATTTAACTAATTGTAGTGTCAGTCAGAGGATTACCACTCTTCCGCTGATAGGCTTCCATTCAATGACTTTGGTAGCCACGATGGGTTCTACCTGAATACTAACACTGGCCT